AGTGAAAATACTTTAGAATCAGATCACAGGAACGGCAATCCTACCATCAGGTGATTTCCGGTTCAATCCGGTATACTCTAATTCTTCTCTGTACTCGGTTCCCTTTCAGATCCGCTGATGGTCCATTTGTTCTTCAGCATTCTTCCAAGGCTCAACAAGATATTTGTGGACTCAATAAGGATAAAAGTTCACGCGAAAGACTCAAAGTACAATCCAACATACCAGATACAGGTATGGCGTTACCCTGCGCATCCTCCAACCTAACATTGGTGTGATTGACTCTTTGATTTTAAACAAACCAATGGCGTCTAAGCAGACTCGCCAGCGGTGAGGTATGCCCTGGCCACGCCGAGGGCTTCATCCGGGCTTGGCTCCACCCTCAATGCCCGACACCATTCCTCTGCACGGCTCTCCACACTTATTCTTGAGATACTCCTCTCTCTTGGTACTAGGTACCCGTCGAGCACGTGCCCCCGCCCACCAGTTAGCAGGAGGGTCGGGCTCGGCCAAGAATGAGCCGGCTCAGGCCGATGGGCTCGGCAGCATTAGCCGCGGCCGCGAGAGCACCACCTTACTCGCCGCTGGAGGATTTTATAGGCAAAGGCTGTGGAATGGGCCGCGCGGAATCTTGCCAGTCAAATCTCAGAAACACGTTACATGAAGGGCGAGTTCGGGTTGGAGATTCTGTCATACATTGAACGTGCGCACGCACGTGGCATCACACCATCCGGCAGAGCCATGTTGGCCACGCTGTCCCGAAGGTTTCGTGTCGATCGTGTGCGTGGTGTGACTGTGACGCAACAGACTTTGCTTGCTGTCAGCTTGTAAGGGTATTCATACAACCAGATGATTGCGTTCAAAGAAAAGGTAGAGTATATCCTTAATGGTATGCCTCCCGAAGCATGGCCAGCTGATAGCACGCTGTTCAGTTGGTTCTATGGAAAGATCAAGGTATCGAGAGGTATGCAGCGCGTCATTGACAAGATCAAGGATAGTGCCCCAAATTCAAACACGCGGTCCTTCTTATGGCTTTGGGAACAGTTTTCAGACTACTTAGCTGAACTCAGAGAAGATCAAAACGAGAGAGATTTCCGAGAGGCCATGACCGAGTCACTCCTGGCTCGCTCGCCTGGCCGGAAGCGGCTCTTTGCGCCGGTCCCTCACACTTTGAAGCCCGGTGACTCTTTCGACGCCGCCGCCGGGAAGCTGAGCTGCTATAACTATAGCTCCTGCTGCGGGATCGCGACCGCATCGACCCTTTCAAGCGTGGGCGGGCGTCGATGAGTCATTAGCTGGAGCTAGTGGCTCCGCTGCTGGCATTGACTGGAACAGCCTGGAAGCATAAAGATCTGCAACTTCTGTGAAAATCTTTTTACATCGATTATCCCGAAAAGGAAGCAGTTCCATGTTACGCGTATCTGGCAGTGTTGTAGGTGCTGCGGTCGCAGCACGGCGCAGTTGCGGTGCACGTGCGCAGTGTAGGTGTCTTGGTGCGTGCGCGCGGTGTAAATGCTGCGGTGGGTTTATGGTTTAGGATTTAATATTTAGGAGGCTGTACTCGCCTCACAAGGTCGAGAACAGCTGGCCTGCGCAGGGAAGACAGCAGGCCGCACTCCAGCACCACGGTATTTGCGGTGGTTTTGCAACCGCCGAATTGATTGCAGCACCGCGGCATTTGCGGTGGGGTCGCAGCCGCCGAATTCCAGTCCCGCGGTTTTTGCAGTGGTTTTGCAGGCGCCGAATTCCAGTACCACGGTATTTGCGGTGGTTTTGCAGCCGCTGAATTCAGGTCCCGCGATATTTGCAGTGGCTTTGCAACCGCCGACTTCCAGCACCACGGTATTTGCGGTGGTTTTGCAACCGCCGAATTCCACCGCTGTATTTGCGGTGGTTTCGCGACCGCCGAATTCCAGTACCACGGTATCTGCGGTGGTTTTGCAACTGCCGAATTCCAGCACCACCGTATTTGCGGTGGTTTTGCAGCCGCCGAATTCCAGTACCGCGGTATTTGCGGCGGTTTGCAACCGCCGAATTCCAGTACCACGGTATTTGCGGTGGTTTTGCAGGCGCTGAGTTCCAGTACCACGGTATTTGCGGTGGTTTCGCAGCCGCCGCACTCCAGGTTTTGCAGCCGCCGAATTCCACTCCCACGGTATTTGTGGTGGTTTTGCAGGCGCCCAATTCCAGCACCGCGGTATTTGCGGCGGTGTTGCAACCGCCGAATTCCAGTACCACGGTATTTGCGGTGGTTTGGCAGGCGCTGAATTCCAGCACCACGGTATTTGCAATGGTTTGGCGACCGCCAAATTCCAGTACCACGGGATGTGCGGTGGTTTTGCAAGCGCCGAATTCCAGCACCGAAGTAGTTGCGGTGGTTTTGCAACCGCCGAATTCCAGTACCACGGTATTTGCGGTGGTTTTGCAGCCGCCGAATTCCAGTACCACGGCGCATGCAGTTGCGGTGGTTTTGCAACCGCCGAATTCCAGCACCGCTGTATTTGCGGTGGTTTCGCGACCGCCGAATTCCAGTACCACGGTATCTGCGGTGGTTTTGCAACCGCCGAATTCCAGCACCACCGTATTTGCGGCGGTCTTGCAGCCGCCGAATTCCAGCCCCGTGATATTTGCAGTGGTTTTGCAGCCGCCGAATTCCAGTACCGCGGTATTTGCAATGGTTTTGCAACCGCCGAATTCCAGTACTACGGTGTTTGCGGTGGTTTTGCATGCGCTGAATTCCAGTACCACGGTACATGCATTTGCGGTGGTTTTGCAACCGCCGAATTCCAGTACCACGGTATTTGCGGTGGTTTGGCAACCGCCGAACTCCAGTACCACGGTATTTGCGGCGGTTTGCAGGCGCTGAATTCCAGTACCACAGTATTTGCTGTGGTTTTGCAGGCGCCGAATTCCAGTACCACGGTATTTGCTGTGGTTTTGCAGCGTCCGAATTCCAGCACCACGGTATTTGCGGTGGTTTTGCAACTGCCGAATTCCAGCGCCACGGTATTTGCAACGGTTTTGCAACCGCCGAATTCCAGCGCCACGGTATTTGCAATGGTTTTGCGACCGCCGAACTCCAGTACAATCGGTATTTGCGGTGGTTTTGCAACCGCCGAATTCCAGTACCATGGTATTTGCGGTGGTTTCGCAACCGCCGAGTTCCAGTACCACGGTATCTGCTGCGGTTTTGCAGCCGTCGAATTCCAGTACCATGGTATTTGCGGCGGTAAAATTTGTACTACGACTTAAGGAAAATCAAACCGGCTCACGGAAACGTCAATTCCAGTACTAAATTTGTGCTATGAATCAAGGAAAATCAAGCCGGCTCACGGAAACGTTGATTGAAGTACTACATTAACTTGTACTACAATATAACAAACATCTATCCGGCTCACGGACGCGTCGATCCAGTACTAAACTTCCTGATAGATCATTCGCGTGTAAT